TTGCCTTGAAAACTGCAAGGCCTCGTCCAAGCAGTCACTGCAGAGTCGGTAACGACTGAGCGCAGATTAAAAAAAAAAAAAATTACTACCATGGTGGTGGTTAACTTCTAAAATAGGGCTGCAATACTTTAGATGACCATTAGATGGCAAAGCAATACCGAAAATCCTATTATTTGTTTCCCCCAGTGGTCCTCCAGATTTTTGCAGCCCAGATTTGGGAGCCCTAAATTTTAAAGCTGTGGGTTTGCTTTTCAGGCAAATCAGAATTCTGGTGCTTTCCATTTTATAAATTAAGTTCTGCAAGCTACATACTTTGATTATTTACAGAAGAAAGGGTTGAATTCAACATGACTGTGCCCATGAAATGATGAGAAAACAATATAAGTTTTTCACAATTCCAGCTCAATAAGGCTTCATTGCAAATGTGGTGGTTGTATCTCACATTCTGGACATTTCCATAGTATTACATCATGGGAATTATTATCTTTCCCCTTCACTTACAATGAACAGATCAAAAAGTAGTTCCGGCCCCTTGGTGGAATGATTTTGAGGTTTGTTATCTTCCTCTATAGCATCAGTGGTCACCATGGAGACTAATGTGGCTAGCAAAGAATGAAGGCTGCAAAGGCTGCTTGCCTGCTGTTCATTTCTTTTATTGAGAGAATAAGCTAGGGAAAGCTTGGAGCTCTGAGAAGTAGTATAGAAGGAGTAAAGTGTTGGTCTCAGGATTAAGCTGTTATTAGTAATAATACACTGATCTGGAGTGAGTGTGAATATTCTGCTGTGAAGTGCCCTGCAATAGGAGAAATAATACAGGGTAATTTCAGATACAGTGGTCCCGTAGAAGTAGTGAAAGTCCAGAATCATTTGAAGATGGAATTAGGCCCTCCAGATGTGATGGAACGCAAAGGAGCATTGACTTTGCGCTCCAATTCAGCATATTATGGGAGACCCACTCTTGTGCATCGCTGGTAAGAAAAAAGTATTATTGATAGATCTGATGTGATTTAAAATCATTCTTTTTTTTTTTAAACCACCAGATGCAACTAAGCCACAAAAGTGTCGTTTACTTTGTCTATTTTCAATATGAAGCTTAACAGTTCTGTTAGTAATATTGTTTGAAGCTGAATCTCTTTTTCAAATTTTTGTTTTTATTTTCTTTCTGATTTCAGATTCATTTAGAGACTTTAAAACTTTCTGAAAAGTTCTCTTGCATGGGACTTAGCTTGAAATAGAAATGTGATCAGCTCTGCATACATATTCATTTGGGTTTGATTATTGTACATTATCTCAGTAGTGTACATATTAGTAATTTTTAAAATAAAATTTTTATTACTATATTATTTCTTATGATTTAAAGGTTCTACAACAGAGAGACTGAACCTAAGGATTATGATATACATGAAATTAATTTGGGTTCTAAAAACTTATGTCAATCTACTTACTGGAGACTTGGAACCATGGATCAAGTAAGATAGCTACTTGTCTGTAATTTTCGCCCAGCATATTTGTTTGATATTTTGGTATGTAGTATTTATATTTATTTATTTACTTTATCAATATACCACCATGCAGCGTAGGGATTCATGGAAGACACCCATATATTGTTTTTAAGTTAATAAATATTGTGTAAAGGTTTTAGAGAACTCAGGATTGGTATTAAAACCACCTACATTAATATCAACTGGCACAAGAGTACCCCCAAAACCTGGATTGTGTGATTTGGTAGATATTTTATTATAGTTTAGTTGCAATGTTTATTTTCAGTCATGAAAAGAGAGCTTTGGGATGCTTTATTTATGAAGAGAGAATAATCAACTCCTTCTTTTATATATTATTTGATTTACTACTGGGCAGCCAAAAATTTGATGTTATAATAGAAAGAATAATGTATTTTTGTGATACATACCAACTGGCTTAAAAAATATTGATTGGATTAGAAATGCATAAATTTTAGGAGTAAAGACATACATCCAGGGTTCCAACAGAAATCAAGTGTTGATTATTAAAGTACTTTTTAAAGTTTTATTTTTGCACTGTGCTGGAACTCTTTAATGATTCCTTGCTCATATATTTACTCTTAGAAATGGATAACCACATATCAAGATCATCTGTCTTCTCCCTGTAGCAAAAAAGAATACAGGGAACAAGAGATTTGGAAACCTCTGCTGGATGAAGATGGTTTTCACACAATTATTGTTGACAGGTATTTCTGATATTTTTGCATCTATAATAATAATCAAATAATACTGAATATCATATAAAATATATCATGAATATCTTTTTTCTCCTCTTATTTCTTCCTACCTGTTTTCAAAAACATTGAGAGCAATTAATCCTGTATTTTAAGAATTAATTCATCTAATCTCTGATGTAGCTTACAGTTTATAAAAGTTCACAAAGCATTAAATAAAAAGGGAAAACAAAAACTGACATTAGTCATTATATTTATCCTGAAAACAACTACGAAGTTAATATGATTTTTTTACTGTTTGAAACAGTTTGGCACATTTCATCCAGTAGAGGGCAGTACAGCAATGCAATGTAAAGAAATGTAAAACCTCTGTATGTTAAAAAAATGATTTACATAAAAGATATAATAGTTTTCGCTAAGGTTGCACTCCCATACACTTTTTCCTTTGTAAATCCCAATGAACTAATTTTGACTTACGCCTGTCTGTCCGTCCATCCATCCATTTTGCATTGCCAATTGGATCTAAGATAAAGCTTACATTTTCTTTTAATTTTTCTTTCAGTCTGAAAGCTGTCTCTTTTTTTCCCTCAGGGAGACAGGACTACCTGAAACAGGTTTTGGTGCTGTATTGCCACGTCACCCTCCAGAGAAGTTTAAAATGTTTGTTGTATTATTATTATTATTATTATTATT